TCTTTGTAGTAATATTAATCTGTCTTCTGCATGACGTTATCCCATGAAAGTGACTCCATCTTTGTAGTAATATTAATCTGTCTTCTGCATTTTTTACTCTTTACTGTAATTTTTATTGCAGCTGCAGAACAAAAGTTGCGGAACTTATCAATATTTATAGTTTTGTGTTTGTTTTAGAAATTCTCCAGGATAGAACATAAAACAGAAACCTGGGTGTTAGTTGTATGTTCAATTTTATTGGTTTAAAGTGCGAAAGCTTTTCGAAAGAGAAGCCGGCTGTGCAACATGGAAAGAATGCTGCTCAGATAGGGCAGGGGGGATTGTCCCCCCGATTTGTAGTCAAACGAGCTGCAATAAAGATCTGACCCTTTAATACTGTTTATTCGGAAATCACTCATTTGCAAGTGTAATTGTAGTCTTAGGAAAAGCGGTGGAATTGATCTGGTCATTTATAGTCACACGGCAGTCGTGTTAGCAATAGGACAGTGTCGAAAGAATCTCTTTTATTACCCGAGTTAGTCCTACCGCGGAACACTTGCTGCTTGCTAAAGTGCTATTACTGGCCCTCTACGTTAGGCAGTTAAAATACTTCATAAAACTCAGTGGCTCTGTTTTCTCATGCTTGGGGTTTGCGACAATGATGCCGGGTCTCTATCCTTGGCAGGCCTGGCGTTTCTTCGACACAGCTGTTGCAACGGCTCCTATGAGGTCGTCGGCGGAATGGGCGACCGGAACACGGTGAGCGGTACCGTAAGTCGGAGGAGTTCATGAGTCAACACGTAACGCTACAGGCGTGTTGAATACCCCTATTAATCTGATCGGTCATGACTTGCTTTCAATGTATTCAAAGACTATACTAAAAAAATAAATAATCAACGTCACATTAGAGGTTACTTTAGACTCATTATTATATAGATTAACTTTTCAGGAGAACACGATGCTGGAAAGGCATATCTTTACAGATTAGATGATTTACAGAAAGATACCTACTGACCGTTAACGCTCTGTATAATATAGCTAAGATTCCATGGTTCGAGTCCCGATTATGCCACACACACACACACACAAAAGATCGTGTTCATCACTTTGTTGCTGTGTATGCGTTATCAGAGTGACGGTCAAATCCAAACGTTAGGTGTAATAAGAGTAGTCTAGGAGTTGACGGTGGGTGGTGATGACTAGCCGCCTTCCTTCCCTCTAGTCTATCACTGCTAAATTAGGGACATCTAGCTTAGACAACCCTCGAATAGCCTTGCACGAAACCCGACAAACAAAACAAACGTTTGTGTATATTTCTACAGCCGAACCGCGACCTAATTTTCAGGTGCGCGTGTTTAGGATGAGAAGTAAACCATTAGGGAGAAGTAATGAGTATTTATTTGGGAATGAAGAGGGTCGGGTGTGTATTTATTGTAAAAATTATATCTTGTCAACTTTTGGTTGTTTATCTGTTCTTAAGCGCAAAGCTACACAATGCTGTGGCACCACGGGTTTCGAAACTCGGTTTCTAGCGTTATAAGTCCGCAGACTGACCGCTGTGCTAGTGGGAATGCCTCTTGTTAGCTATCTGAAGGATAAGAATTACTTACTTTGAATTGGGTTATCATACCACGAGGTTAAATACGTTTTCAATCATACCACGAGGTTGAATACGTTTTTAATATACCACGAGGTTAATACGTTTTTAATCATA